TACCCAACCTGCTCTTCAATACCTCCAGTGTCCATCGATGGTAGATGTCTGTAGAATCATTGAATCATTGAATACTAGAACTGGAAGGGACCTTGCGAGGTCATCAAGTCCAGTCCCCTGCCCTCACGGCACGACCAAGTCCCATCTGGATCATCCCTGGTAGATGTCTACCCAACCTACTAATAATTACCATGATTTCTGATATTCTCACCAAAAAGAGAAAACAAGGGAAAAAAGAGCATTTGCATAGCAGAGCTTAATATAAGTGAATCTGAGACCTGCCCCCTGCCCCACTACTTTTCATAGAATCATGGACCACGAGAACTGGATTCCAGTGTCCATCGATGGTAGATGTCTATACAATCATTGAATCCTAGGACACTAGAACTGGAAGGGACCTTAAGAGATCATCAAGTCCAGGCCCCTGCCCTCACGGCAGGACCAAACCCCATCTAGACCATCCTTGGTAGATGTCTACCCAACCTACTCTTCAATATCTCCAGTGTCCATCGATGGTAGATGTCTATACAATCATTGAATCCTAGGACACTAGAACTGGAAGGGACCTTAAGAGATCATCAAGTCCAGGCCCCTGCCCTCACGGCAGGACCAAACCCCATCTAGACCATCCTTGGTAGATGTCTACCCAACCTGCTCTTCAATATCTCCAGTAATGGAGACTCCACAACCTCCCTCAGCAATTTATTCCAGTGTTTCACCATCCGGACAGGCGGGAAGTTTTTCCTAATGTCCAACTTCAACCTCCCTTGCTGCAGTTTAAGCCCATTGCTTCTTGTCCTGTCCTCAGAGGCCAAGGGGAACAATTTCTGTCTCTCCTCCTAGTAACACCCTTTTAGATACTGTACCGGGAAACCACTCTCATGCCCCCTCTCGGTTCTCTTTTCCAAACTAGACAAGCCCAATTCTTTCAGTCTCCCCTCATAGCTCATGTTCTCTGGGCCCTGCCTTTTCTCCTGGGGCCTGAACCCTGACCCACCTCTTCCAGTTAGCCTCCTGTTAGCTCCTCATGTCTTCTAGACCTTTCATCATCTTGGTTGCTCTTCTCTGGACCTTCTTCAATTTCTCCCCCTCGTTCCTGAAATGTGGGGCCCAGAACTGGACCCAGTACTCCACCGGAGCGCTAATCTGCGCAGAGCGGAAGAACGACATCTTGTGTCTTGCTCATCACGTTCCTGTGAATGCCACCCTGAACGATGTTGGCCGTTTTTGCAACTGTGTCACCCTATTGTTGCATATTTCGCTTGTGGTCCGCTACGCTTCTTCTGCACAGAGGGCAGAGTTAAGGAGATCTTGTGGCTTCCTTCGCCTATCAGTGTTTGTCTGGCAAATTTCTCCCTCAGTTGCTGTGACCTCCAAACTTCTTCTAACCCTTATAAATGCCAAAAGAAGGCTTTTGCTTTGTCCTTCCATAGGATCAACCATTCAGGGAGCTCACAGCACATTAGAGACAGAATGCTAGGATTGGAGGAGACCTCAGGAGTCATCGAGTCCAGTCCCCTGCCCAAAGTAGGACTAACCCAACTCAATCAACCCAACTAGGGCTTGGTCAAGCCTGGCCTTCAAACCTTCTAGGGATGGAGAGTCCACGGCGTCGTCATGGCACCCGTTGCTAGGGCGATATTTCCATGGCAACGTCGGTCATTCCATTGGGCATGGTGGTAGCCCCGTTTCGGCCCCAACAACCCATTACCCCGCCCTTCACATTAACTCATCCCATCCAAGGCTTGGTCAAGCCATGTCTTCAACACTCTAGGGTTGAAGAGTCCACCACCACCCTAGGGAACCCATGGGATCAATCTCATGGAGTCAGGATGCGTTTGCGAATCCCATCCCTTGGTTTGTTTCGGGGGCTGTCTCTCCAGCGATGAGGGAGCTCTCTCGGGGATGACTAACTCTTCCTGCTGTTTCCATAAACGATCCACCAAGGCAGGTCAAAGAGGACTGGGACAGGTCTCCTCCTACTGAAGAGCTATGACGGCTGTTGGCGTTTTGCCGCGTGCCGCAGGTGAATCATTGGCTCCTATTTGCTCAGCCGAGAAATTGTTCCGTGCCTCATTTGGACACAGAGCAGATATGCACGGGGAATGTGAGTCAACACCTTGTAGCCAAGAAGGCCAATATCGGGGTGCGTTAGTTGGAGATCCAAAGAAGTGATTATTCCCCTTAATTCGGCTCTAGGGAGGCCACCTCTGGAGTGTTGTGTCCAGTTCTGGGCCGCCCGTCCCGGAAAGGAGGTGGACGCATTGGAGAAAGTCCAGCGGAGGGCCATCAAAAGGATTCGGGGGCTGGCGCACGTGACCTCCGAGGAGTAGCAGAAAGATTTGGGCTTGTTTCATCTCCAGATGATTTGAGAGTAGCCTTCAACTCCCGGAAGGGGGGTTCCAACGAGGATGGAGACAGACTGTCTTCGGTGGGGACAGACGACCGAACGAGAAGCCAACGGTCTGGCTTCTCCCACAGCCCCTGCCCACCCAGCCTCTTCCCCCCGCACCACGTCCCTGCGCAGACGCGAGGGCAGGGAGGGGCAAGTTGCTTTTCTCTCTCCTGAGCCGTTTTGCAGCCTCGGCTCCGAGGTGACTGGCCCTTTCTGAGGTGACCGGCCCTTCCCTGGGCCCTCGGGGACAGGCCTGTTCACAGCCCCTTGGGCCGCTCTGCACGACGGCCCCACACACGAGTGACCCACACGGCACACGCCAAGGCCAGGCCTGCTCTCGTTTAATGGGGGGAGGGAACGACATTTCTGTGGGGAGTCGGGGACCCGCTGCCGCGGCTGCTCCTGGTCCAGGGCGGGTGGATCCCTCCGGGCTCATTTCCACTTTTTGAGGGGGAGGCAGCAGTAGGACTTGGGGCAGTCGTACGTGTAGGTCTCATACTCGTATTTGCCGCATTTCCAGTCGCAGCGACCAGCACAGCCCTTCTTCTGCCCTAGGCCTGCGCCAGACAGAGAGTCCGGGGTTAGGTTGCTCACAGATCAATAGAGTTGCCAACTTTCTGACTACAAAAAAGTGAACAGCCTTTGCCCCGCCTTTGCCCCGCCCTTTCCCAAAGCCCCTCCCCAGCCCTGGCTCAGCTTCAAGGCTCCGCCCTGATCGCTCCATCCCCCTTCTGTCCAGCAGGGGGAGTGACCTCTGGGGTGGGGCAAGGGTGATGGGTATATGGTGGGGCTGCAGGCTGGTGGGTGGGGCCTAGGGGTACCAAGTGTGGCAGGAGGTTTGGATTGGGACAGAGGGGTGGGGTGCTGGAGGGGAAGAGGGATCTGGCGGAGGTGGGGCCAGAGATGAGGGATATGGGCACCGGAGGGGCTCTTGGCTGGGGATGAGATGTTTGGAGTGATGGAGGGGGCCTTGAGGCTCAAACATAGAGGTTGGGGGGTGAGAGGGAGGCTGTGGGCAGAGCTCACCTCACATAGCTCCCAGAAACACCTAGCATTTCTCTGCCCAGTGTGGACCCAGGTGTGTAACGTGAGGGTCACAGCCGGGGGGAGCGCTGGCCGCAGGGTCTGAGCTCGGGGAGCTGGCGAGAGGATGGAATTCTCTGCCCGTCCTTACGGGAAAT